GTGAAAAGCTGTATTATCTTAAACTAAATATGGTTCACCCAGAAAGGTATTCAAACCCAGCTTCATGCAACATGAACAATTGTTCACATCCTGTAGCATGCAGCCCTGAGCAGTGACTGCCACAAAAAGGGATTAAGTGCCTCTAATTATTATTATTGTTATACAAAYATTTTGCTATCAGTGAGCCTGTAATAAATAACCACGACATCTCATGGGTACAGCTATCAAATTTACTGTCACTGGCTGAGCTGTTCTGATTAAGGGCCAGAGTTTTTTCCAGTAAATACACTGATCCCTCTAAGGACTAAAAAATAAATGAGAACTGAAAATCTAAGAGAAAAACAAAGGGCTGTCATGTGAGCTCCATTCTTGGCTCAGAATCTCATGTTTCTGTAAATAGAAAAATAATGGTAACAGAGCCCTTACCCCACTCCCAGGGACTCCTCTTTTGTTTTTCCCATCAGCCATGGGCTGGAAGCAGCTGAATCCTGTTCTGTCCATGGCATGTCCCTACATTAGCACAGTGTCCTGTCCTGGACACCTCCAGCAGCACCAGCAATGCTCCTGTTCTTTTCCAGGCTCTTTAAAACACCTGGAAAATAAACTGAGTTACTTAGAGCTGTCCTGATGCTCGAGCTTACAGCTGAGCTTTCCAAAATAGATTTTATGATCCTTCAGAGACAGACACTTAACACAGCTGGTTTATGTTTACTCAGCTTCCCCCATTTTTATTTTGGTTCATCAGCAGTTTCTGGTCCAGTTTCCAGCCCAAGTCTGGAAAGATTTAATCTTTGGTAGTGAGCAGGACTAGAAGCAATCAAGTAGGAGCCACCCTGTTAGAAAAGGTTTTGTAAATTCTAGACATTCAAGATGCAAGCAGGTGAAATAGATCAGYTTTCATCTGATAGTTTTTGTTTTTCAAGTTTTGGAGACAATGCTGTTCCAAATTCCTCTGAGGATTTCAGTATTGCCTTGCCCTCTGTTTCTTCCTGAGAAATGTGATGAAACAGAAAGAGAAGTATTCCCATTCTCACCTGACATGTCCTGCTGGGACATAAACRCCCTGCTCTGCCTCAGAGCCTGCCTTGAGCCACCCTCACTCGGACCCCAGTCACAAATGCTCTGCTCCATCCATTTTAAATGTTCCACTGCCACATTCCAGTGCTCCCCTTGCTGCTGCCCTCACTCCTGTTCAAGGTCTCTCTTCTTTCTGGTGAGCTGGCATCTCTGCCATCCCTCACCTCCATGGATCTCCTGCCCTGGCCAGTGAAGCCTCGTGGRGAGTTGTGTTGATTTTATCTGGACATGGTGCAGTGTTTTGGAATCTTGAATAACAACGAGAACAGCAAGCAGCCCTGTCATCCATATCTGGGGCTCTACAAAATTCCCTCAGGTCTGGGAAGGTGCAAACTTCAGAGGAAGCATTCTCTGTGCTTGGGGCACTGCCAAAGCCCACCAGGACCCTCCAGCACCAAGGGACAGCTGGGTCCATGGCACCTTCTCACCTCAGGCAGGAGGGATTGCCCCTCTGTCACTGTCAATCTTGTAGGAACCACTCTCTAAGCCACCATCCCTCCAACAAACAGGTGAAACTGTCTGATAGCATCCAGAAGGGGGATGGACAGGCACACACTGGACAAGCAAAGTCCAAATCTGTGCTTTGGACCTGAACTCATCAAAGTCTGCCCTGCCTGGGGTACAGAGAGAGAGAGGTCTCACTGTTTCCCCTCTGCTCTGGGACTCAGCAGTCCTGAGATGCTTTGCAAAGGTGATTGTTCACTGTTTGCTCCTCCACATAAACTTTGTTTTTCTTGCTGCACCGTGGGAGTCCAGCCTCAGCAGATAAAGAGGCTCCTGCTGATCTCTCCCAGGGCCGTGGTTTGTTGCTGTAACAATCAGAGCAGCAGCAGGAATGGGAGAAACAGCTCCCAGCACTGACAGCTCTGAGAGGATGGGCAGGGAGAGGGGGGGGCAGAGGGAGAGGTAATGGAGAGCATAGAGAAAAAATAAAGGGAAAAAAAAAGAGAGATGAACAGGTTTCTTGTTTCTCCTCAAGACTTCTTGTTTCTCCTCAAGGTTTTCACAGATTCCCAGTAAGGAYAGAAGGTTGTTGTCCCAGCTGCCCTGATGAACACAGCCCAGGACACACAGGGATGCCAGGCTCCCTGCTGCAGGCACCAGCATAAGGGCAGCTGCCTCCTGAAGAGCCACAGCACCTTGTGGGGTTGTTCCTGCCAATAGCTGGAGAGGATTCTCACAGATCAGAAGTGTTTCAAGTCCCATCTCACTGATTTTCCAGGAAGCTCTCTGAAGCATCCMCCAGCAGTACCCAGAAACTCATTCYTTGGAGCCAGAGCAGAACAAAGAGAACACAGAGAGGCAGGAGAAAATCAAGGAGAAGGAAGGCTTGGCAGAAAGTGAAGTCGCTTCTTTTCTTGCTGGAGTTCTCTGTCCTGTAATTTACTTACAGCAGAACTGTGCAAATGTGCAGTGATGGCTGGGAGACCCATTGTGAGCTACTGAACCTTATGAATTACAAAGCAATTGGAAAAACACAATGAAAACAATGTTTTGCTCCATAAAGCATTCCTAGCTCCTTCACTGGGATGGCTACAGGTCTGGTATTTAAAAAAACCACTTTGCAGTGTGCACAATGAGGGGATGCTTAGCAAAGAAACAGACAAGTGCTGAAAGTTCTAATAAAGAGAGATTTCTCTGTGAGCAAGCAGATCAAAACTATTGCAGCAGTAAAAGTTGTGTCTAAGAGGAAATGCCCAGAAGCAAATGAGCTGTGCTGGATTTTATAAGAGTGAAAGAAATTACAGGTGAAAGAAATTACAGGTGAGAGAAATGACACTGGGGCTGTAGTGCAAATCCTCAGTAAATCCCCTCTGTGTGAGGGAAGCCCCTCGTCCATGTGCAGGCAGCACAAGGCTCAGCTCAGCCCCTGCAGCAGCTCCTGCTCAGCAAAGAGCTCACCTGCAGCCCCTCCAATCCTCCTGCAATCCTGGGAGTGCTGCTGGGACACACTGAGCTGCTGGGAGCTGCTGGGGATGCGTGGCACAAAATCACCCAGAGAAGACAAAATCCCCTGCCATAACCCTGGCAGAGCTCAGAACGAGCAGAGATCTGGGATGGGCAGCAGCAGGGAGAGTTTGCTGGAGCCCTGAGGGGAGCTCCTGCACCTCCAGGCACATCCTGAACACCCAAAAACCCTCAGGACCATTGCAAAATGAGGAAAATGTTGCCCTCTGCTTTGCCATTTCTCTCCACTTCCAGCTGCAATACTGATGCACCCTTCATAGGCACAGTAATAAATGAGCAACACGTACAAGATGATAAAGATGTTTATTTTCCCTCCCTTTGCTTTTTTTCTCTTTTGGATTTGCTACAGATGTGCTAGTTAGTGATGGATGAGTTTAGTCCTTGCCCTTTTTCTAAGCTTTGTTGATTATTTACTGGTGATGTTGTCATTTGCTGATCTCTGTCTACAAAAGGGAATTTTCTAATGTGCAGTGTCTACGTTAATGGGATTTTGGGCAAGTATAAATCATCTGACCCTGATACCCATTGTTGAATACATATTTCTGAGGTGTATAACTGCCCACAGCCTCTTTCAAAATCCACCATGGTGCTTTTTAACCCTCTCATTTTTTTWAAACCCTCTACGAGGATCCTCTCTTCTCTTCTACAAAAAACCTGTGAATGTTTCCAGCATTTGAAGAAAMCAAATCCTTCTAATGGTTTTGCTGTTGATTCGCTTAGGGGTGTAGTTCAGCTGCCTGAATTTTAGATCTTGATGTCATTTACATTTGTATTATGTTGGTCAGAWCAGACAGTCTGGCCTTACCCCCCACAGATGTCTGACTCCAACAAGAAAGGGGTTTTGCTTTGAAATTCTTAAAATTCTTGTAAAATTTATCATTGAATCTGTGCCTATTTTCCCTTTTTTTTATAAGATTGTAAACCTAATAAGTGGTTCAATATTTGCAGTGTTAGAATATACCTTCTCCAGCCTTTTTTAATCAGCATTATTAGTGTTTGGCCACAGGCCTGGCCCAAATAAATCATGTGAGGCAGACACTCACTCTCAGTGCTGTCACACAAATATGGCAGGCGACCCTCAAAATAATACTGCAGTGGCCACATTTTACACTTGCAGATGTGAGTTTATCCTGAGGGATCCCACTCCAGCACAAGATACACCACTGCCACTGGGAATCCAGGATCTCCAGAGCCCCAGCTAACGGGCTCACAGCTTGCCCAGCCCAGGAGGAGCAAGATTTCAGCGTGGAAACCACCATAAATAACCCTGTGAATCTCTGATTCACTCTGAGCAAATCCTTGAGGTTCCCCTGAGTAGATCCCACTGAACTCAGCTCAGTGAAGCACAGAGAGGATGAAGAAAAAGAGGTGAAAGCCAGAGTTGGGGACAAGAGGAAAACAATGGCAGTTCCTCGAGCTGAGGTGGGAAAGAAAGAGGGGAATCTTTGAAATAAATCATAGAAATGGCTGGAAGGAGAGAAGTCAGCTCAGGCAGGCAGACACAACTGTCCTCCGAGTTGCTTTGTCCCATGAGAAACACTTGTGCACCCAGAAGTTTGCCTATTCTTTCTAAATGTGACAATTAGAGATATTCCCTCTTCCCACACATCTTACTCCAAATAGAAATTAACTCCAATTGACTGACAGGGGATTTGGTTTTCTTACAGCATCAGGTTTGCTATCTGACTCATGAAGTGGCAGTACATCTTGGATAAAAAGTTTGGGAAGGACCAGTGAAAATTCTGGCCCAGGAGTCCGTGATGCTTCTTGTAAAAGCCCTTTCAACATTAGCAAATAATTAAGTAAATTTTGAGTGAGGATGACCTTGGAAATAACAAGAGATCTAATTTTTAGTTCAATTTGCTGCCCTGCCAGGAAGTTCCTTGAGCAGCTCTCATTCCTTGAGCATTCTCTCACCATGGAGAAGGCATCACCCTTCACGCAGAGGCTCAAGAAATGCTGTGAGGGTAAGAAAACRTCACAGGCAGGCACCCACAGGGAGAGCTGACTCAGGACACCCACACTGCAGCAAAGGAAGGGTTCCTATGTTTTTATTGATGGAGCATCTGAGGGAAAGCACAGATAAAGCTGTGACAGAGACAGGCTGGGCTGGCTCACCCCCGGGGGGACCATAAACACCTCCCTAAAGCCTTTGTGGGCTTGTGCAAAGCTCAAATGGAATTAGCYTTCCTTCAAACATGAATATCAAACCACACAAACAAACCATAAGTGTGGCATTTCTGCCTCACCAGTGACATTTTGATCCATGAGACTGTAAGCACCACCATTCTTCACCTGAATCTGTGTGTTCTGGATGCTCCAAATGTTCCTGGAGCTCCTTCCAAACCTCTTCACATCTCCTGATGAACAAGGTTTGGTCCTACCACAGCAGTGCAAATGCAGCACCATCACACAGATCAGGTTCTTAGAAGTTACCCAAGCTGTAGAAAAGAAATAGGATAAGTAGTGCTGCCTGCTGCGTGCCATTTGGGTGGAATATATATCAGCAGCAAACATATAAAAAATTGATTTTGTCTGACTGGAAAACATAGCATTTGGAATGGAAGATTAGAAGAAGCTATGGCAAAGCAGGGTATATTTTGAACATCTCCCAAGTGTTAAAGACAGTTTGAGGGTTGTTGTTTCCTCAGATCTAGACTAACACAAAACACGATGTTTTCCTGCCCCGAGAGAGCCCTTTCAACAGAATATCACAGGTGGCAACGCTCTGATTTTACACCAAAGCAACACTGATGGCACACATCTTCACTACCCAGTGAATATAAGGAGAAAAYAAACATTATTCAAGGGTTCCAGTCTACACAGCAGACATTACTGGTCTTGAGAGTGTTTTGAATGTTTGTACGTGGAGCTTTGTTCATACAAATAGGCARCAGAACCGTGGTGCTCAGTACCTGTACACAAACACAGGTAGAGAAAGCTTTGCAAGGTCTGGGTCTCTTCTTCCCATTTCTTATCCATTCACATTGATTAGAAGGTGAAGGGTATTTCTGACCCAACAGCAAGAAAACGTTTCTTAACTTTGACCGAACCAAGCACATACATATTTGATAAGAAACAAACTTCACTGGCAACAGAACCACTTGCAATTTTTTCAGCTCTGATGTTCTTCCACAGAACTTCAGCTAAAACTTCATTTTTCATGCTGAACTACCACAGAGAACACTGAAATTACAATAACTCCTGTTTGTTAAGATCACAACTGCTTTCAAGACACACAAATGAACAGAATGAAAGCTGTCTTCCTTTACCACCCAAGATGCTGCTGCATTTCAAAGAGGTGATAGCCAAATGCATACAGATGATAAGAACAAACTGTTCAAGGAATGACTAATATTCGATAATAACAGCCATGAAATGAAAGCAGYGTTAAGTTTTATTAAATGATTTTCCACTGCCTCCACACTGAAGCGTTAGCCTGTGCAGCAGAGAGCTCAACTAAATTAACAGYTGAGAAAAAAGTGTCAGGAGCTATTACAAAATGTATTCCCAGTAATGAAATTCAAAGTCCATGGGAGAAGTTGTTTTATAGCTGTGGAAGGGGGGAAAGGCAATCCTTATCAGTAGCCCAAGAGAGATGGAATTATCAAACTCCTCCACTTCAGRGCCCCTTGACCACACACCTACTGCTGAGCTGGGAACGAGCACTCCGGAGTACTGAGGGTTTATCAGCAATTGAGCCTCTAAATTGGCAAGCACAGTGTTCAACCAGTTCAGACTCATGTAAGAAACACTGGATAGAACTCGTGGTCTGTTAATCAGAAGGTCAGATAAACTCCTGATCTTAGTACCTTTAAACTGTTAACAGCATCCCCTGCCCACTGCTCCCATCCTTGCTGGAGCCTCAGCAACTGGTCTGATAAAAAAAAAACAATCTTTGCATGATAAAAAATGGATTTACTACCCAAAAAGATTAAACTTACAAAGGTTGGCAGGTCAGAGACACTACAAAAACACACAACTTCAAATACAGGCACGCTTTGTAAAATATGRAATGCCAATTACATTTATTAGCTGTTCAGCTTAGTCATTAATACCTGCTCTGGGATCACTTTATGCCACAGCAAACAGAGGAAAGATGAGAAGTGAGCTCCAGTCACTGTGGCTGTAGGAAATKACAGGTTTTGCATCACCAGCTTTCTTGCCCTTCCTACTCTCTGCCTCCAGGGATCTGAACTCTCATGTCTCACTCTGATTAAACTCCATGTGTAAACTCCAYCAGAAGTCTCAGTTTACTTTTATTTTCTTGGTGAAGGGAGGAGGAAAAAAACAAGATGTGTGTATAAATAACAGCAAAAGGCTAATTCATGCGAGGCTYCCACAGTGACAGACTGATGAGACAGAGCACTCAGATCTGAACACGTCTGCCCATGTCTGTGGATGGAGACACAGCCCCAGGTGATTCCCTGAGCTCCCCACAGAAAGGATGGCTCATTCTGCAGCCTCACCCTGATCTCTTGCACGTTTGCCTCATCTGAGCTCTCCTCTGAGCCATGACTCTGCTTCACACAGTTATGGGGCAAATTGTGTGTCCAGTGCTGCCCAGAGAGCCTGCACAGCCCCTGGTGACAGAGGGAGCATCATTACCCAGCCTTGGTGCCAACAGAGCACCAGCAGCTGCCCCAGTKTGTTTCTGTAAGACCTGGGGATGCCTCCATGGCCTTAAGAACATTTGTAAACCTTCTTCATAACTATTAATTACTGGGAAATGCAAAACCCTAATCAGCTTAGAGAGCCGATCTCCTCGGCCTATTTACACAGCGCTGTTGTTTTGCTGCCAGCTCCTGTGCCTGAGCTGTCAGAGCACATTTCCTTCCCCTCCCAGCAGTGACAGGCATGTTTGTGCTGGAGCATTACTTATGCAGGCCACAAGGTCTCCGTGTCCCCTCCACTTCTTCAAGGGCATCTTCCAGCTATAACTGTCTGTGCTATAAATAAAATACTGTGACCTGARCTCCCTTCCCAGCCTGGGCTGTCAGGGTACAATGGGAGCACACAAAGGTGTGCAATGCACTCAGCTACAGCAGACCCACCAGCTGGCAGAATGGCCACAGACCACTTGGAAAATTGTTTAATAGTATTAAAACTTTGCATCTCATTCCTTTCAACTCCAAAGCATCACAGATTTTTTTTCTCACATTGTGTAGCTGGTACCACCCTGTTCCAAACCCCATCATCACTGACCTGAGCTGATCACAGACAATGTGCAGTTCTGCTSGACTAGATCCCTCCTGATACTCACTAACTCCTTTTAGCTCCATATCCTAAACACACACCAGAAATCCAACCTATTAAAAGATTCAAAATCATTCTATTAATGAGGATCTGCAATGTTGGTTATGCTCAGCAGTAAGAAACCTTGGAGATTTAGTGTGGTCTTGGATTAAACCTGGCTGGTGCTGGTTTGATTCTTGAGACACGAAAGATAAACTGGGGAAGAAGTGACACAGACAGAATGGCTTGGCTTTAGGTGGAGGGCAACTCCAAGATTTAGATTAACTCCACAAAAGTAATGGGACTATGGCTTTTTCTCTTCTCTGGCAGCCCTTCAGATTGTTTCTCTTGCCCTCTGGTTGCATTGCTATTTTCAGTAGTCCCTTGGAGAGGTACAGAGGTCTMTAAGGTATATCACGCTTTTTCAAGCACCTGGTTGAGCCAAAACATTGCCAAAATTATGCACTCTGATTTTCCTTTCCTGCCATTTCCCAAGCAGCTATGTTCCTTCTTTGAGCACACAGAGAGCTTGAAGTGCCTAARTTTAATGTTTAAGGCAGAAGCACAAAATTCTTCCCTGCATGCTTGGAAATGGTGTAGGTAGGTTAAGCATGAGCCAGGATCTCTCACACAATTGCATTCTTATTTCCACCAAGCCTGTTTCTCCTGTCACAGGAAAGATGCACTGACAAAATTCTGACCACACAGACACATTTCTGAGAATCAGCAAGGAGGTATTTCCTCCCCTCACCTTGGTGTATTTTCTTTTTCCAGGGCAGTAACACACTTGCCCATGTCAGTGCCCTCACACACTCAGTTCCACCAGAACCCCCCCAGCACTGGCTTCAASTTTGCTGTCTCTTCATTTTATGACTCTCCCTCTTTTCTTGGCTTYTTTGTGCCTTATGAAAACAATATGCAGATTCCTTCAAATCTATGCCCCAATTCTATCTGAATTCATCAGCAGGCTTTATTCTGTATGTTTGTTTTTCCCCTCTCAGAGAATGGCCTCATCATACCMCTCATTCATGAAACAGATCCCATCTCCAGTCCCAGCGTGTCTTTACACACAGCAGCACATCCTGTCTGCTGCAGAAAATCAAACATCAGGAATGTTCTCAGAGGGGTTTTTTGGGTCCAGGCCCCAGCTCACCCCACTCCTCCAGTGTCCTCGAGCCCTCCCACTGCTCTGAGCTGTGCCCATGCTGAGCTGCTCATGAGTGAGGGTGCTGTTWGGTGGCATGGCTGCAAACTGATTGCCAGGGAGCTTTTACAGCCAGGAAACACCACAGAAAAAAAGGGAAATGAAAGGCTGACACAGTTAAAGCAGTTCCCAGAGGGGTCTGGAGAATTTGTGTGTTTGCATGAGTGTGCTGAYCTGACCATTCAGCACCTAGGCAGCCATGGACTCAAACTTCTCTGAAAACCAGTAACAGCAGATTTTGACCTCCATAAGAACCTTGGAAACATTACCTAAAAGCAGTGTAAATCTTGTGAAATGAAGAAGTGATGGAATATTTTGAAACATCTGGGTATCTTGTGCTTCTACAGAGGGGAACCCTGCCATCTTCTAACTCTTCTTTCTTTCACCTTTTTATTGGTTTCTGCAAGAGAGCAGCCACGGTAATCTGAGCCTGTCTGCATCCTCCAGCTGCTCTTACCAGGAGACCTTCCCACACTGCACCTTCAAGAAAAGTTCCCCAAAAAGTTAACTCAGCACATCCGAGAGATTAAAATACCCTCACATCTAAATGCTACTGGAGGTTGGTGYAGCCTGTGGCTGGGAGATGTTCCATGAATTCAAATATCTGAACTCCTCTCCCAGCTTCACTGCAGCTCCTCATAACCTTGAGTAAGTCACTTTGCTTTTCTTTTTCTGCTCTGCTGTTTTGTTTTTCAGGTGAAAGATCCCTTGGGAATGGCTGTGTCTCACACAGTGTGCTGAGATAGCAGAGCCCTAAGCTGTAGGATTGCAGGCTTGACTGGGCAGTGCACCTGATTGACAAAGGGAAGACCTGCAAGGAAATGTTTCCTATCAGGATTTATCAATTAAAATTTTATTACATGTGCTTTTTGCGTAAGAATTATCTTTTTCACTTGAAAACAGACATAAGAAAAAAATGTCCTGAAGCTCAAGAGATTTGGATTGATTTGTCATTTTATCCTCAGGGACATATTGCAAGGTCTGCTTCCTGTGCTGCCTATCATCTTCTGGCTGCTGCACATCCACAACAGATGGGCTGGACTCCCTTGAGACTCACAGCTACCTATCAGGCCCTGATATGCTGTGGAAATTGTTCTTGGTCCTCCAGGATACCTCTGCCTCTCATTTTCTATTGTCTTTAGTGAGAACACCATCCCTGCATGCCCCGTTCCTGCGGTGATCCCACAGTGCAGAGTGGCCATCCGTGTCCCACCTCCTGTTTGCAGACACTTTGCTCGAGGTCAGTGTTGTCTGGCACTTTGTTCCCATCAATGCTCTTTTGTTTACTGCCYAGGAAAAGTGTCTGTGGCAAACCCATGGTATTTCACTAAAATCCAGGGAGCATTAGTCAGAAAAGGGCACAGTCGTTAAGCACAATTATTGGAAGTATGTTCATCTCTCCCAAATGCACAATAACATTTTCTTGCTGTGACTTACACGTTACAACAGGGGYTCATGGAACAGCCTCACACATATTTTAAGGCATATCCTCTTCTAGTTCACTGCAGGTGCCTTCTAAAGCTCCTAAGAGAGAAAGAAATTAGATTTCAAGGACTCTTTTTGAAGATACCCTGAGTGATCTAAAAGGCATCCTGTGAATTACCATCCTGGCACCAGAAATTGCAGTTCATGGCATTATGCTCTCCATGAAGACWAATCAGTTACAGCCTGACCAGAAACAAGCAAAACTGCAGTTCAATAGAGGAATCAATGTGTAGGAACAGTCAATATATAAGAATGAAACCCTTATTCAGACAAGGTCATTCATTTCACACATAGGGCAGAGTGCTTGTGCTTTCAAGGACTTTCCATTGTGTTTCATCTCCAGGAGCCCAGGTGGTGACCAGCACTGCCCCAGMAGTGACTTTGAAGGTGACTGCTCTTTCTTCCTCTTTCTTTCTATGACGATCCCGGGTACCTTTTGAATTTTAGCATAAAAATTAGATCTTTTTCCAAGATGTAGCCTAGAAGAGCCTTTATCTATTCCTAAGGAGTGCTTACACAAAACTATAATAATTAGCACATTACTGGGACTTTAAAAAAACATCAGCATTAACCATAAATACGTACAAAAGCTTTAGAGCTCACCTGCAGAAGGAGGTGGTAAGCTGGTCCCATAGAGATATCCACATATATTCCCAATACCTGTACTATTCTTCAACAAGGGGAGAGCAATAACTGCTTTTGTTTATGTGCTTTGGTTGTTGTTATTGCATTATCTGCGAGTATGGAAAGCAAGCAGGTACATTAAACAATTGCCTCTATGTGGGCCAGTAGAGCAGCAGCTTTGATGAAACCCTGAATTCAAGATCTGCAATCACAGCCCTGCAAAAKGCTCTTTGATCACACACAAGCAAAGGAATAACCATTTCATGTTCTCTGCTGCAGCTGGTAAATGAGGAAAACCCAAGCTTACATCCTCAGGGACTTTCTTAACTAAAAACAGAAAAGCTGCAACAGCAGCATCTCTGCACAGTGTGTGTAATCTGCTTAAGCACTGCATGGGGGGTGTCTGATTCCAAAAAAATACTCTTGACATGACCTACAGATAGTTTAAAGACCAGTGCCAATGTTCTTGAAAGGATTATAAACCGTCGCTGCCTATGGGAAATCTTTYATAACTGTCTGAAGGAGATTAGGAAAGGATTAGGAGCAAAGCTGCTGGGAACTGGAGTCAGGAGAAGGTGGGACAGCAAGGAGAGCCCCCAGAGGGGCTGGAAGGTGCTGTGGTCACAGTGCACCTGATGCCTGATCAATCAGGCTCACCAGAACAGAGGCCAGACAAAATTGAAGAGAATGAGAATAGACAACTTTAATCCAGGCCTACTGGTACATGGGGGCAGACAAAGCCTCCTCCTGAGGCTGCAGCCAAAATGGACACTGAGTCACGAGATCCTCACCTTTTATAAGTTCTGTCCTATTAACATACTGGGCCTCAATTCTCCAATAATCTTCAGGTGATGATGTCAACCACCCCAAACTTGCTTCCCCCCCCCAATTCTCTGTTGTTTCCATATTTTGGGGCTCTGAGGCAGCGAGGTGCCCTTGGATTCAGGCTCAGAGAGGGATTGTTTTGTCTAAAGATGGGAGAACAGGAGTTTTAGTGTTGTACTAGAGAACTGCAAGAATACAGATGCATGAAAATAAAGAAACTAAAAATCCTAAGGCATCAACACACCCTCCAGCAGCTCCCTCCMGTGTGAGCCAGCATCACAACAGGGCAGCTCCTTATCCTCACCCTGCCTTTGCTGGGTGTGCTGAGGTGACTGATGAGTGCAGCAGAGTTCTGCTCACCCCTCCAGGACACCCCTCTGTCTGAGCCATCCACCCCAGCCAGTCTCAGCCGTGCCCACAGCACACATAGATCCATCAGTTCAGCAAGAAGGAAAAGGCCCAGCCTTTGTTAGGATACAAAAATGTGCACAAGTGCCTGGAAAAACCTCACCTCCCACTTTGGGGTCCACAGTGTCCTCCCAAATCCCCTCAGAGCACATCTTCTCCCATCCAGCATCAAAAGCACAGCCGAGTTTATGTCCTGCTGATGGCAGCTGAAGGTATCCAGAGAGAGATCTTCCCTTTSTCTAATTTCAGACTGAAAGGCTGGGTTTTCCCAGCACCTTGGAACAAGCCAGAAACCATTATCTCAGTACCCCTGCAGTTACATCTGCATGAAATGAGAGCTGTAGGAGCTGGGAGTGAGGTGGTTCTATTCCAGGGAAAAGCCTTCAGCAGCTTTTCCACACAGGGATATTCTGCACAGAGCATTGACCAGTGCCCACAGAAACTGGAAACTCTATTTCTGCTTTACAGCATAGAAGAGATCAGTGTTGTTAGTCTGAACTATTAAAATAAGCAAAGCCCTAAATTGTTGAATTAACATGAAGCAATCAAGGTGAGAGTTCTCTGTGAAAAAGTGCTGAGGCACAGCTTGAGCTCCTAGCAAGGATATGATGGAGTGAAGGCATATTACCTTTTTGGGAGGGAAAACAAAGCATGGAGTGTCTTCCCAGAGTGTGTAAAAGACATTTTCCTCAGGTTCCAGACCTAAATACGATACACAGGATTGTGGCTTCTGAATAGATTAAGCCTTAGTACCTATATTCTTGGGGGAAAAAAAGATTTTGCTACAGTCTACAACTTTAAAAAACATTCTGCTTAAGATTCTCAAAATTCCAGTTGAATTTCAGACACTTGAAAAGTTGAGTAAAATTATATTGGTGCACTTTGAGGCTGAGAACARAGGCTCAGTTACAAAGAGAAATGCTGCACCAAAATTGGCTTGATGTCTTTTCTTGTAAAGCTGTAAGAAACAGTAGCACCATTAATATATTTTACACTATTGAGAGCCATAGAGAAAAACTGTGCTGGGCTGATAGAAAATACTCAGAGTTCTATGAAGGCAAAGCAATAAATATCATCACTTATTCTGCAGAAATACATAGGCATTCCAAATATGAGAGCCATGAATATCTGTAACCAGCTTCCTTATTCTTTTCTACTTTTTAAGGTAAAACARTGACAAAAGATGGTTCTTTACTTGCAGCATTCCTAAAATGTGCATTCACATTTCTCCAGAGAGGGTGGGTGGGGAATGGGAAGGAGACAAAGAGACACAGAGAGGGAAAGCCTTCACATTGCTCTTTATGACATTCTTGAACTGCTCGTGCCTGAGACACAAAGAGCAGCTCTGGCTCACTCTGCTGACCCCAGGTACAGCCTCAGCAAGGTGTTCCAGCCCTGCAAACCCTGATTTAGCTGTTCCCAAACCCAATTCCCCTCCCACAGCCACAGGCAGCAATAATCCCTCAGTCACACAGCACTTCTTCTCTACACACCCAGCTGCCTCCAGAAGGGAGGACCAGATCATTCACCTGCATGCTCACACTTGAAAAAAGGGACACAAATTTCCATTTCAGCCCTAAAGAGACAGCTTTTTTCCTTGAGGTACTGAATGCTTCAGTGGCTTCACTTGAAATCCTGAGCATTCAGCAGCATTCCTTCTTCCCAGGGTCATGCAAAGTGTATCTTTCCAAATCACTCAGTGCATCTGTAATCAAACTGTATCTTGGCTGTGGTCCTCAGGTTTATATCTTACTGTCTGTCACTTCCTTCACAGGTTTAGAGGAGGTCAGAGCCCCCTGTCCTTCACATCCTCTCTCACTGAAAACACATCTAGTTAAAGCCAAAAGACAACTGATGGAGCTTCTTCACGCATGACTAGAAGATTTAAGATAATTTCCACAGCAGAATGTTTTCCATGGTGTTTTTTTTTCAGCTGCCAAGTGGTTACTCATGCAAATTAGCTGTCTCACAAATAAAAGCACTTCAAGGGATACACTCAGTACCCCTCCAGATTATTGTATGAGAAATTGTTATGATATCTCTGATTTAATTCAGTTCTTACTGKGAAAGCTATTAGGTTAATCAAAATATGAGAGAGCCCACCATCTATTTTTAATTAATAAATTACAAGTTATTGTGTGATCAGTAAGATTTCATCAAGGTTAAAATTAAGTGCTCATYCCATGATCCATGAACACAATTTTCAGCTGAAGATCATGCAACAATGCCAGAAGATGAAGAATGTAATTCCAAGCACAAATGTAACTGTTCCTGCAGCACTGAAATGAGACGGCCTTGAGCTCACACAAAAGCTTTAAAACRGTAAGGCTGCATTGTTTCAGAAAGCATTTCAAAGTGTGTTTAAAATTCAGGACCTATTTCAGCCCTATTAAACRGAATGTCTTTTAAACATATCCATAAATCTAAATACAGACATCAATTGTTCCCTGACTGGAGGATTTAATTAAACATTTATTTTTCTGTCAGGGGTCTGAGCACCCAAGCAAAGCAGCAGCACAGGCAGTAGCACCCAGAGCCCCCCATGGTGCTTTTTGGTCATATCCAGGTCCAGCCCAGAGTTTTGCACAATCCTGGAAATGCCTCCTCAGAAGATTGTTTTGTTTACATCAGTCTCCTCATCTCATCACYCTGAAGAGAGCTGCTGCCTCCTGTAAAGTGAATGACACATCTGTAGGTTGGAGACTGATGTTTATATTACCTTCAGTGACTCACAGGAAAAATTAAACCTTCTGTCTCACAACGGCTTCGTCTCTTTGACTCACAATGTCAAGGCAGGCTCTGCATCARCCATTCACTGCAGGTACTCCTCAGGTTCAAGGATGGCTCTGTGGAGCTCTGAAGTGACTCTATTTCTTTAGAGARAACCTCTAGTTAAAGAAAGTTAAAGAAAAGCTTAGGATTACTCACAGTGAGAGGCTGGGGATATGAGCTTCACACAGAGCAGCAGGGCAGCAGGCAGAACTGTCTGTGGGATGACCAGTTTGCTGAATAACTGCATCTTGACTCCACTTTAGATAATCAAAATACTCGTTCAGTATGAGGACTGAACTCTGACACCTGTAATGTGACAAAGCACCCTTTTGGTACCTCCTTACAACACTAGTTTGTTGGGTTGTACAGCTCCCTGAACCCAGCAGAGCAAATTCTCCAGCACAGAATGTGTTACTGTAAAAATCAGCCTTAAAAAAAAATTTCCCATTCGCTACAGAAGGTGCTCACACATGCTAAGTACATTTATAAGTTGTGCTGAAAGAAAGAAAAAATCTTGCATTTAAAAAAAAAAATTTAAATTGAGATTGAAAAATTCAAATTGTTTTGAAAACCAAATCACGTTCTGATCCTGGAGGATGTTTAAAAATTAAAGCCAATAGATAAATATTGTAGTCGATTTCAGTCATGGACTAAAATCTCTCTGATGTCTGGGGAAACTTAAAACTCACCAACTCTTTTGGAACTAACACTGATATTCCTCCCCCAGGTTCAAAGAAACTGGAGAATGATCCAAATTCTGTATTCAAATCAGCCCGTGAGGATTAGGCAAAGGTAGCTATTATCTCTGCAAAGCATGTGCATAACAATGAACATTTAAAGAGAAAATCYTCCATTTCAGTAAAATTTTATGAGAACATGAAAAACAGTAAAACCTTTATCTCAGACACCTTATGCAACATCCTCCTCCTAGCAGCACTTTTCTCTCTGATTGGTTTTACAATATTCTKATTCAAGAAATCATTCTTTTCCAAATGCAAAATTTGCAGGGATACATTCTCATTTCACTGTGTTTAAAAAAAACAATCATTCTGTTTGAGAGATGTCAATGCTTTTTGTGATGCWTGAAGTGTAGATAAGGTAACATACAGCATGTTTTATTGGCTCAGTTTTAAAAGTCTTGAAAATCAACAATTCTCACTGATTACAGCTTGGTTTGGGAAAATGTCATTTTTATTTAAGGCAATAGCAAATTCTCCAGCTACTTTGCAGTGTAATATTGGGATTTAGATCTGACAGTGGCTGTGGGTTGTTGTTATTAGGAAGCCATTTGGACAGTATTGATTATTCTTAAGCTAAATGCAAACAAGTGCCAAGAACCACTCCAACTAATTTGTAAATATAAACAAAACCACACTGCCACAGCTCCCAAGAGYTCCTGTGGCATTTCCCAGGACTGTATCCATTATTGCTTCCATGTCTCAGCATGGGAAAAGTATTCTGTCTCCTGTGACTGCAAAGGTAACCTTGAAAATGCCYCATATCAGAGCAATGAATGGGTTTAAACCCAGAAAACAGCTTTTCTTTCTAAATTTGGAGTTTTTAAAGTCAGTCCCATAATTCCAGTATCTTACCTAAAACAGGTCAAAACTTTTAAAGCAAAACTTTATTTCCAATCAGAACAGTTTTATCAGCATTAAGGGTTCTTGTATTGCACTTGACATTTTCCATATTCCCGTTCTGAAAAAAAACCACAGCATCAATTCAGAAAAAATATTACTGAAATACAATCAAATTTCCTTTAATTTAAAACGAAGGGGGAATTTCCCAAATCCTGAACTTTCAAAGAGTTACCCTGTGGCACAAAGTCAGGTTTATACTTCTTAATTCATCCCCCACCAGCCCTGAAGATCAGAGCACAGTGAGTCCTCTCGTGCTCACCTGAACTTACCAGCTCCTTCTGTGCTGACAGAATGGCCAGCTCTGCACAACCTTTGTGAAAAATGGGATTAAATTATGGACACAAGAGAAAACCTTGGTTTCTTCTCTGTTAGAACTATTCCTGTTCCTTCTTTACATTGATTTTTCCATTTTCCCTAGGAAAAGCAATAAATCTTGGCTGCCCGACAGCATGTAGAGCAAATAATTACCCATTTGATCTTCTCTGCTATGGACCTGCTTGYTGGAGTACCTTTGGAGAATGTTTATTTTCCTGCAAATATAAATATACTTGAGAATAGGTTTTTTCTGCAAATCTTTCTGCTGGGAGGTCAAAGTGCTGCCATTTCCTCATTTCCTGGATTCCCTATCACATACTCCAACAGCGCAGATAACATTGGCCAAATCCTGCTGTTGGTAATTAAAGGGATGRGATGGGTCTGGGTGGGTTTGGTTGCTTTGAAGTAGATTTCCCCACCAGCTATTGAATTCAAGATTCAGGTTTTTAATCCTCTCCTGGCCTTTTTTSGTTTTCCTAAAGAAAAAGAGAATATTCCTAAACTGTGCTTCCCTTTCCTACAGCAGGGGATTGTTTCTTTTTTTTTACGAATTTGGTGTTAAGTTCAAAGTTAAATTGCAATGGAAATGGTATCTGCAGGAGCTTGCTCTGATCTGGACCCTCCTGCTGCCAGCTCTAAAGATTCTCCACAGGATTTACTGAAGGATGATAAACGTTAGCCCTCTCAAGACAGGATGTGCCGGAGTTCTGCAACGAAACTGTGGAAATTGATTTCCCYCTTTACAAAAAAGGTTAATTACAGAGCCTTGGGAACATGTTTGTTATTTACYACATGCAATAAAGAGCCCACCTTTGACTCAGACAGCAGTTTAGCACAAGGATTAACTTCCTACCCTTCCAACTCAGCAGCTGAATAGGCTTTGATGTGGAGAGGGGACAGGGTGATTCCACCTGCTGGCAGTGAGCTGCTGGAGGAATGAGGTGTCCCCAGCACCCATCCTGCCCACTGCTCCTGTGAAATGGGCACGAGGGGATGCAGTCAGCCTTGGGATGGAGCCAGCTGAGGCCACTGCTTGTATGAGTTACATGGGCACAAAGGATCATTCCTGATGCCAACACTGCCTTGGCTTTCACCAGAGCTTGTGTAGCTGGCTGGTACCACTGCAGCTCTCCCAAAGGCAGCCAGAGCCCTCTGACACACACCTGCAGGCTGCAGGGACCAGGTTTAGGGCCATTTGAGCCCTCTGACACACACCTGCAGGCTCCAGGGACCAGGTTTAGGGCCATTTGAGCCCTCTGACACACACCTGCAGGCTCCAGGGACCAGGTTTTGGGCCATTTGAGCCCTCTGACACACACCTGCAGGCTGCAGGGACCAGGTTTTGGGCAGCTGAGCCCTCTGACACACACCTGCAGGCTGCAGGGACCAGGTTTAGGGCCATTTGAGCCCTCTGACACACACCTGCAGGCTCCAGGGACCAGGTTTTGGGCCAGCTGAGTACACTGGTGGGGTGCTCTTGTATCCTTCACCCAACTGCTTTGACCAAACACTGCTTTTCTCTTTATCCCTGCTTTGTGCTCACATCACCTCACAGCATGGCTGAGTTTCACGGGCAGAAAACTTGTTTGCCTTTGTTTTTTCTCACAACAATCTTTAGGAGCTGTTGAATACAACACTTCCCTCTGAGGCTGTGCTGACACCCATGCACAGGAGCCCTGGGGGCAGAGGGACCTCACCAGCCATGGGCTGTCCGTGCTGTGAGGAGGGAAGGGTGGCAAATCCTGCAGGCATTTCACAGCACTGCGGGCAGCTGATGTTTCTATCCTTGGAAAGGTCAAATGCCACGTAACAGGAGCGTTGGGAAGAGTTCTGCAGAGGTCTGGGCTGACACCAGCTCTGCTGGCTGCAGCAACCACGGCAGGTTTAGTCCTTACCTTGCCATGAAGGATGAAACCCCACACCAACAAAATCAACTCAGTCCTTTGACGAAGGCAATAACCACAARAGAAGAATAGGAAGGAAAAACAAATGGAGCTTATGCCATTTGTGACACACTGACAAGAATGCAAGATGGCAAGAGGTCCTATTTTTAAAGGCCATCACCCTGCTGCTGTCGGACCGTGCTCATGTCAGCAGCACCCCACAGCAGCTCCCTGGATCCGCTGGCTCTCCCATGGCACAAAGCTGCCTCCACAATATGCCCTGGGAACGAGAAGCTGGGCTCCCACCTCAAATCACCACAACATGCTTCTGTCTCTCAGGGAAACCAAAGTCTGTGGGTAAAACAAACAAACAAAAAAAATTCCACCATTGATTTTATATCTGTGTGCTTAAATTTAGCCATGACTGATTCTCCAGAAGAACTCCAGGTCTGCCCAGGATAGAAAGAGAAGAAGGCAGAACCAAGATGACAACAAATAGCCATGGCTTAAATAGGACTTAGACACTCACAATAACATGGGAAGATTCAAAGAAGCTTTTGGAAAAGTAGCTTCATGGTCTTACATTGCAAATGAGCACTTATAGGGAATCTAGCATTCTCTAAGGCTCTCCAGGTTAAGAATATATTCTTAAGACTTCAGATTAATGAGACCTAGTGCACTGACTTAAAGCAGAAAAAATTCTTTTTTAATTACTCAAAAGAAAAACCCAATAATTAATAGCCACCAGAAATAATAAATCAGCCAGAGTAATCTCATTTTCATTACCCTTATTAGCTCAAGAGATCAAACCCAATTTCATTCTTCCAGAAATAAATACACTATTATTTTTAGCTCATTTCCCAAGACTGTGCAGTCACCGTGCTTGGGCTGCCTGCCTGTTTGTCCACTCTGATAAGTTTGGAGCCTGCTGGCCAGCTTCAACTTGAATTAATGACAACATAGTAGTCTCAGAGATGTTGTTGTCAGACCTGTTCTGTGGCCAATCTCTGGYCAGGAAGGACTCAAACAAATCTGTTTGTGATTTCATATAGGGTAATTTATTATCATTCTATATTCATTTATCCTCAAAAAATCAGATTAGTTTAATACTAAAAATATTCGATTACATGTATGCCAACAAAATATGTCAGAAAATGTACTGAAACTATCCCAAAACTCCCTCAAACTGGAGGGACAGCCCTTATCAAGGTGATGAGCAGGTTACGTTCTATGAAGGAAATCCTAACCAGTTGCTTACATAACAACATATTTCATGTTATTACTGAAGTACTTACTGCATGGATATGATGCAATATCCCTTCTGTTTACAATATTCTCCTAAGACCAAAATAGATTATGATTTAAAAATAACGTGCACCACAGTGGAAGTCAATGCAATATTCTCTGACCAAGACCCAATTAACAAATGAGGTGCCACACTTCTATTTTTAGAAACAGATTATGTTTTTCCTGGGCAYTGCCAATGACTGCTTCATGTACCAATTTTGTGACATGACCAAGCACTCACTAAATGAGATGTTTGATACACAGYCTTGTGACAGTTTTCATGGCAAATACTGCAAAGTTAATGACCAGCATTGCCCTGAGGTTGGGCTGGACACCATGGTGTGCCTTAGGTAAACACCAAACCTCTCCCAGGTGACTCTTTAGCTGAAGAAAACCACAAAAGAGAGATGACAAAGGGAATCACAGTCACAGGAGCCAGCTATTCCTCCAGTCCCATCCATGTCCTCCTCGATCTGGGCAGGACTGTGCTGGGRACAGTGGCTGGCTGGATTTCCTCTGCCTTGGCTCACCACCAGGGAATGGAAAAACCACTGGGAACATGTTGAGAAACTGCAAGAACAAAGAAGAAAATCAGTATTTACAAACTCACAGGGAAACTCTTCATGAGGAAGGACCTGTTACATTTCTACTCAAAGCCTGCTGCACTATGCAATGTCATTTTGTGTCTGCTTTTTTTCCTTCATTAATTCTGCTGTTGACCATTAGCACATCCTGCTTTCTGCAGCAATTACAGCAGACAAGAGAGATGAGCCTGAAACAGCAATGGATGAAAGTAACACTTGACCTTTTGCAGCTCCAAATCAATTGTCTGTAGGTGGGCTTATCTTGAGCAAAACAAAAGGAATCAGTGAGAAACCAAGTGCAGCAGAGRGTGAAATGCAGGTTGGTAAGCATGGGAGAGGAGGCTCTGGGAGTGATTTGAGGAGGATATGGCAGGTTAGGGTGCAGCTGGTGAATTCTTGCTGAATGCACTGGACAGTGTAAACCCAGAGTGWGGTGCTCAGCCCAGACCCAGAATGATCAATCCCACAACAGTTTAAATACATGCTAAGGGAATCACCTGGCCARCATGACATTTCACATGGTGCCAGCTCACCTTCAGTCACCTTCAAACACATGACAAAAAGTGAGCAATAAATTCCAGGATGCTGTCATAACATCCTGCAAGGCGCCACAGCCCTGAGCAGCCCCAGCTCTGTCAGTGTCACACACTGCTCCAGAGAKCCCCACCACCTGGAGAAAATTCCTTATTCCTTCCCTTTCTTATTTGCCTGTATAAAAAGCAACAAACTTTCACAAGCCAGCCAAACTTCAGACTGGCCCAGTGAAACTTCTCTAGACTTCTGCTCATCATGGGAGAGATTTTGATTGCATCCTCAGCCAGCAAAACCTTGGAACAATTTCAGAGTAGCAGCACTGTTGTAAATGCTTGAGAGCACAGCAGAGCTCAGAGTGGGGCCTGTCTCACAAAGCAGCTTTCCACATCACCCATGGATGGCATCTTAACAGGCATCTCCTGAAGTCTGTGACCATGGGCACATTGTCACTGTCC